GCCCACCTCACTCTTCTTGTCAGCTTCTCACGTGATAAATTAAATCTGATGTGATGCGACTGTCGTTCGGCACACTGCATTGAGCAGCCGCATTCAGTTTTAATTGTAGTGTCTGTTCTCTAACTGAACTAAATGATTTTTATTACTATATAAAATCAAAACGACGTGGGGGTCGGTGGGCAAGTGACGTAACCGGTGTTGCGGCTTAACACCGGTATCACCGTCAGCAACGTCTATCGCGGCAAGCCTAATAGGAAACAAACATGAACCGGGACTCAGACGAAGCACAAGCAAGCTATATGTTGGAGCGCTGCCCACGAGGCTATTGACTCCAACTGATTTTTTTAAATTTTTTTTTTTAGAGCATGTGGTTTACATCACAAAATATTTTTATATCACATCAGGATAGTTTTTGTCAGTAAATTTAAGTTGAATTTAATTTCGTAACTAAAATCATTAAATAGAAAGACAAAATAATGTTTTCAAACAGGTTTCGATGTTCATTGGCTGGGTCAGTAGTTGTGCCTCTCAGACAGATCAGTGTTTTTAAAACACATTGTTTACACTCTTCAGGAAATTAGTCTACTTATTTTTATAATTTTAAAGGTAACACTTTATTTTAGGGTCTCAACTAGTTGCTTATTATCATGCATATTACCAGAATATTAGCCATTAATTAGTACTAATTAAGCACATATTAATGCCTTATTCTACATGATCTGATTCTACATCCCTAAGCCTACCAATACCTAAACTTAACAACTACCCAACTAGCTATTAATAAGCAGCAAATTAGGAATTTATTGAGGGAAAAGTCGTAGTTAATAGCGAATAAGTGTTCCCTATTCTAAAGTGTTACCATTTTAAATATCAAGTAAAGCTCTTATATTCATGATTGCTAATTACTGTTTTGCCCATAGATTCTTATTTAAAGTCCCTTACAGTAACAGTATACACTACTCTTTGCAATATAAAGCATTCAAGTTACCAGACTAGATTATTATCCACTAGGCCTCATGCACATCACCTTTTGACATACAGCAGCAGCAGAGCAACACACAGCACATTCTGGTAGAGGCTAGATTTGAAAGCGTTTTCAATGGAATGTAATTTCAAGTATTTGTTAGTGAAGTAAACAGATTTGCTTTAACAGATGCTTTAGATTTGTCATGTAACTATTCAAATAAACTCCTCATAAATTAAGAGCAGAATGTTTTCTGTTTCTTGGCAGTTTTATTGTTTGATTAATGTTAGCAGATATATCTAATTGCAAAGATTTAATATCACAATATTTTGCAGATTTCGCCTGCCTGTTTATGTTTATCTAAGACAAAAGTGACTAGTTTGGCACTGAAATCGCACCACGATGGGCATTTTGACCAAAAAGTGCATTTGATCATTCTCATGTTCACACAGATCACATGTGCACTTAGACATACAGGCCTTCAAAAGCAGCGATCTGTCAGTCAGAAAGCACAAAATTCTCTCATATTTGTATTAACACAAACGAGTGTGTTGCAGACCACAAGCGTACGGGCCGTGACCCATCGTGTGTCATGCAGCAGTGTTATGAGACGGTGACTGTTGTGAGATATCAGCCGCTTCAGTGTCTGCCGTGGGTCACATCAGTGTTACGGTGATGTTCATGTGAAAAGTGTATCAGATGACAGCTGAGCGTACGTCTGTCTGTTTTATCTTGCATGCTCATGAATGTAGTGAAGCCATTTTTGTCTGTCATATGACACCTGCGTGGATGTATAGTGTGCTTCTAAACATCTGCATGTGGTCTGTGTGTAATATCCATGCTAACAAATGAGATTTCTTCAGCATTTTGATGTTTGGTTTGACCTTTTGCTCACACTTCAATCTGGGAATCTGGGTGTGCATTTGCATAAATAGTGCAAATAAATTGTGTGACATTTTCACAATGAATTCTACTGATGGCACTGCATGAGAAAGCTTCATTAGTCCAGAAGAGACAGCGTTTCATCATAACTCATGATTCTACGGTGATTGAGATATTAAATAAAAGACCACAAGCACTGATCTGGTACGTTTTCCACTGCGATGAAGTTACAGTTACACGGCTCACACGTACCGTGGGACAGACCTCACATTTGAAGAACCATTATTTAAGGAGGTTAAATTAATAAACTGTGCTTCAGGTGAACATGAATTCTATTAAACTGAATGCATACCATATACTAAGTCTTTGTCTTTTTTCTGTTTTTTTCTCCCATGCAGTCGTTGTATAACTCCATCAAGAACGAGAAGCTGGAATGGGCAGTGTAAGTATACTTCTGCATTCACCACCACCATTGCTCTTTTTTAGAACAGAAATAAAAAGAATAAATAGGAAATTCTAGAGAAAAAGCAGGGTATTAGGATCAGGCTGGAATCTGGATTCAAGCCAGCATTCCCATGAGCACATGCAATATTCACTGTCCCACAGATCATACGCCATCACCTTTAAAGCATCAAGTTTCCGTTCATCTTCCTTTCATCAAATGATGGTTTTATTTTTATCTTGGCTTTGGCCACACACAAATGCACAATAAACACATGGTCCAAGTAAGGTCCAAAAAGTGTGTGTGATAGTGTGCTTTTGAGTCAAATGATTAGATTGGTGGCATTTGAGACATGAGCTGTAATTATGATCTTGAAAACATGACATTAGACTGACAATGTGCTTCTCTGATAACGGTCATAGAGCCAGACACTGTTCCATTGTGACAAATTACAGCACACCCTCGCCAACTCTCTGCACCAACCGCAAACCACATCTGAACCTCAAGCTAATCTCTTGCTGTAACATCTAGTAAGCAGTAGTTATTTGCAGATTAAATATTAATTAATAACATGTTTTTCAACAACATATGATATTCTGTTTATTAAAGCAGTATGAAGCCATGGATTACAGTGATTTTAGAACAGCTAAGGGGCATGTTTAGGCACTGCATGGTAGTGCTGTGTTCAAAATATCGATACGACGATGTATCGTCACAGAGATTTGACGATACGAGTATCGATACAGTTGGCCCTGTATCGATATTGTGGCACGTGTGCAGCAGTGGACCACGCTTAATTTGTTTAAAATTTTACAACGTTTAAAATAGAGTAGAAAAGTGCGAGGTTTCTAAAAAAAGAATGAATAGAGCATATACAGGTGCATCTCAATAAATTAGAATGTCGTGGAAAAGTTCATTTATTTCAGT